TTGAAGGCAGTGCTAGAAATAACACTTGCCTTTTCCATGGAATATTAAAGTTACCATGAGAAAGTGCTTGCCACATTTTTGTACACTGCAAGCTGTTGTGGCAGAAGAAGTCACCACTCATTTTGTGTCTGGATGTTTTATTCTTCTCATGATGCAAACATTGCCTTTGCATCATTTTTTTTTAAATGTGAAGAGTTGCAAGTATATTAAATGAAAGATGCATGGCATAGATCTGTTTTCTTCCATCTAATTTAGAAAGGAAAAAAGGACCACAGCAGAGCCCCCTTGTAAACCGAGATGCTCACCCTGGAAGGACTTGAGGGGCCGGGTGGTACGAGGGGTTAAGAGCTGGACTACGTGGGTTTTCTCTACTATGTCACAAAATTAAAAAAAAAATCTGTGCCTCAGTTTCCTTATGTTTGAAAACCGAGAACCAATTAGCTTTCCTACTTCTTACAATATTTAAAACAAAATAGCATCTCTAAGGCAATCTACTGGAGAAAGTAGAAATTCTGTGTTTCCATGGCTTACTGTCACTGTAGCCAGGGACCGACTGTAGGCAAAGAAAATATATTCTAACTTCCTAAATACTTGGAGGCTTGTGTCTAGTTTTGAATATGGTCTCCCTGTCACTGAGCATATTTGGAAACATGAATTTCAAATTGCTTTCTCTTTACATAGCAGTGCAGCAGTTGGCATTGGCCACAGAATTAGTGATGTCTAGGAAGGAAGATCATCATGCGGGGGGAGGGCATAGCTCAAGTGGTAGAGCGCATGCTTAGCGAGCATGAGGTCCCGGGTTCATCTCCCAGTACTTCCTCTAAACATAAATAAATCCAGCTACCCCCCAACAAAAAAAAGAAAGGAAGATCATTATGTACCCGAACCATAGCCCACAATGAGTATTTGTTGAGTTTATGAGTCAACCGAGCAATTTGCTGTTTAGAAACGTCTGCTTGGCTCATCGAAGGTTTGTTGTTCTACTGTTTTCAAAGAAAGCCAAACAATGGTCTGTCTTTCGGAATCTGTGGCAGTATTATTAAATCCTTTCCTTCTCAGGAAAGACAATGAGATGACTGAAAACAGAATTAGGAGCTGAAGGGACAAGTCTCTAGTGCTGGCCTTGGGGAGGGCTGTGATTTGATCTTGTCCTTTTTAAACAGTATGTGCTACAAAAAGGGACTTCTAGACTCAGGAGCCAGCGCTGGTGTTGAGATAGATGTAGGTGTAGATGGATAAGAATTTTTTTTAATAGTATTGGCTATATCTTTAGCAGGTATTTTAAAATTCAACTATAGCATATCTTATAGATCCATTCCCACTTCAGGCGACAGGTCCTGGTCTTGTCTTTGGGGAAATGCTGCTGCATCGTTGGCATCAGTCTTGGAGGGACAGTATTTTAATTCTACCTAACTAGAGTTGGTTTTGCTAATTCTGTTTAAAAATTGTTTCACCTTGGATACCACGAATATTATTGCTTTAGAAGAACTAGTGTTTAACATAAAATATGGTTGTTTTAAAGGAAAAGGTGTAACTGCATAATTGTACAAATGATATACAGATATAGCAAAAATGGTGAGAATTGACAAAGGGCTAATAACTGGGAAAAATCACTATAATTATTGACATTAGCAACAGACTTCCTGGGTATATTTAGGAGTTGAAATTGGGATCTCTTGAAACGCCGTTAAATAGAGCATCCAGAATTGTATAATTGGGCTGACCCTTATTGATAAACGCAGAAATACAAACTTGGGACAAATATGTTATTAGTGGTTTTAAAGGTTTAGAACAGATACATTTTGAAAAGAGAGCTGTATGATTTCCTTAGTTACGATCAGGCCTTTAAAATATTTTTTAAATTTTATTTTAATTTTTTCAGGCCTTTTTAATAAAATCTAAAAACTCTGCTTATATCAGAGAATCCTGCTTTTCTTTTTCTGAAAGGAGTATTTTGTTTATTTTTGACATTAGTAAAATATCAATTAGTAAAACACGAGAAGTGTGGATCTCCATCAACCAAGATCAGTGCTGCAGATAAGCGTGCGTGCGTGCGTGCGTGTGTGTGTGTGTGGTGGAGGGGAGGAGAGAGAACCAGAACCATGCATCTGAAACCAGATGTTTCTTGTTAGGACTGTGAGAGATTCCAGTCCTGCTTCTTCTGGACACCTTGATACAAACACGAGGTCCTTTGTGTCCCAGCTCTGAAGGGAGCAAGTTGTCTCCTTTATGGCCCCTCTCATCTTGAGGTTGTTTGAGTTCTGGTTTGAGACACCAAAACACCTGCAGATTGAAGACTTCTATCCCACCCCACCTCCCCATTCCACCTTTTTATCAGATGCTTTTATTTTCATTTCAAAAATAAAATTGAAAAATTTGGGGATGAAAGTTGGGCTAAGTAAAGATACTGATGCCTGAAAGTGTTTTCCCAGTCATTGCTCTCAGGGAAATAGTGATAGGAAACGCAGGTCGCTTATAATCCCCCAAAAGATCTTCTCTAAGGCAAGAAAGGGTCAAGCAAGTAGTGGTGAATTCACTCTGAAATGACATGAAACCAAGCAATGGACTATGTTTCCAATATGACCTTTATTGAGCAAATACTGCTGTGACGTTTAACATCAGTCAACGAAAATTTGCAAACTGTGCATGTCAACGAGGTTCTCCCATGAACAAAAGTCCTTTTTAAATGCACCAGTGAGGTAAACATAATTATTCATATGTAGCTTTCTTAAGGCTAAGAGAGTTCTGTTTCATTTATTATTTTTGGCTCAGTTGGTTCTTTGCATAATACATCTCAAGACATTTCCCCCCCCAAGTGCCCCCCTCTTCCAAGAGCTTAGGAAATCGGCCAGTTCCCCAGGTACAAACAGTATCATGCATCTGAATCACCTAAAGACTGAGAAGGGGGCACCCTGAGCTCGCATGCAGGTCCCTCCTATTGCACAAAGTAAAATACAATGTCTGGAGCCCCCATGGGAGAACCCGTTCTGTTTTGAAGCTGTCAATCACATGCATTTTGAAATTGTCATATGGCTTTACCATTTGCGATGGACTCAAATATTAGTCACTCTGGGTGACTTCCTTTACTATGGCGTGGGAAGTGACCTTCTCTACCTTTTTAGTGGACACTAACTTCTCCTCAAAGGTCTCTTCATGCTCTTCGACCTTTTGAGTGACGGTTACAGATTTGGTGATGTATTTGGTAGCACCATCTACCCCCTCACTGGTGATTTTTTCTACCTTTTTGGTCACCACCACTTTATCCTCACCTCTATCACCCCCCTTCTTTTCATCTGCCGGGCTCAGGTCTAGCCCGTTGGTGACGACGCCTTTCTCCTCTTCCCCCCCGCTGCCCTTCTCCTTGGTTTCCTGCCCTTTCTCGGCCTTTCCTTCCACCTCCCCATTGACCGCGATGTCTTCCTTCCTGGCTTCCTTTGAAGCCTGATCACCGCCTGCCTCCTCCTTCCCTCCCTCCTCTTCCGCTTTCTCCTTCTCCTTCTCTTTCTCCTGCTGCTGTGGCTTCGCCTCCTCTTTGGCCTCCTTCTCCGGGCTCACCTTTACGGGCTTGGCCACCGCCTCCTCCGCGACTTTCTCCTTCACCGGGGATTCAGCCTTCTTCTTCTCTGGCGCTTCTTTGGGCTTCTCCTCCTTTTTCTCCACCTTCTCTTCCTTGGGGGCTTCCTTGGCCGCTTCTTTCTTTCCTTCCTCCACTTTCTCTTCCTCCTCTTTCTGCTCTCCTTTCGCGGCTACAGCTTCGGCTTTGGGCTTCGCCTCTTCCACAGGCGATTTGGGTGCAGGGGACTTGGCCTTCTCCGCCTTCTCCACCTTCTCCACCTTCTCCGCCTTCTCCACCTTCTCCACCTTCTCCACCTTGGCTTCTGCCGCCAGCTCCTCCTTGGGAGCCGCTTCTTCACCCTTTTCCTCCACTTTCTTTTCCTCCTTGGCTTCTGCTTCCCCTGCTTCACCTTCAGCCTCTGTTTCTCCTTCCTCTTCCTGCTCACCTTCCTCTTTTTCACTAGAGACTTCCTTCTCAGATCCTCCTTCCTCGGCTTGGTCTGATTTCGCTCCCTCCTCTTCCTCTTCCTCCTCTTCCTCTCGGCCTTCCTCCTCCTCCTCCTTTTCTCCTGCCTCCTCTCCTGCAAGTTCAGGGGCAGCAGCTTTCACCGGAGACTTTTTGGCAGCTACCTCTTCTTCTTCGGCTTCTCGTTCCTCTTCCTTTTCTTCCGCCTCTTCCTCCTTGACCTCTTCCTTCGTGGAAACTGCCAGTTCCTCTGCAATGGCCGTCAGGGCTTCTTCCATTTCAGATTTCTCATCTTCCACTTTGGTTTCCTCGATGATCTCCTCGACAAATTTGTGTTGGACCTTTAGCTTGGGAGCCTCTACCTTGGTTTTCTGAATCTTGGATATTGTGATGGGAGGCTGTCGGTGTGTATACAGTGGCCCAGTGATGCTTCCTGCAAAGGTGCTGAATCTGGTCTCTTCACCCTCCAGGAGTTTCCTAGGCAGAGAGATTCAAAGAAGACAACACATAATCAAAAATCTCACCGGGCCTTCTGAACTTCGTTCCATGATAGGTAACAGTTATCGCTGAATAAATAGAATTACAGAAAGTAACACCCACTACCATTTCACTGGTATATTGTGTCACATTCAGTGATGGAGAGAGATTCTCAGGGACATTCAGCCAGTCACTGGCTGCAGGAACTAACCACACCCAATAGTCCACCACCTCCACCCAGCCACCAAATCTCAGCTCTGCCGCAGTCCTTTTGGTGCAACGTGAATATGCTGAAAAGCTCCCTGGTGGCCAGAAAAACCTTAAGTGACCTTCTTGAGCATTTGGACTTTCCGGATATATAGTAAGTTTCTTTTAGCAAGTAGAATGCTCAAAATTTTTATAAAACTATTTAGCACATATCAGAATTCAGGCACTAGATATATATATATATATATAAACACACACACACACACACACGCTAATATGTGTGTATCAAGTTATAAATTGGTCTGCAATTTTAATCATAAAGTCTCTATTTTATATAATTATTCAGCTTTCCTGAAAAGATAGATGGCTCTGACTCGAGTGCAGTTTATTCTTGTAATATTAATGACCTTCCTGGTAATAAAAAATTGGTCCTGGAGTTTCTCTTATGAGCCTAGTCAACAGCAAGGTGACGTCAGTTAATATGTTTATATTCTCTTTCTTTCTCTGGAGTATATCTAGATCTATACATATAAATCTAAATAAAAAACATATTCTATTAATCTATGTTTTACCTCAGCCAAATGATGGCAATAGAACGCTGTAACAGAGAAACAGAAATGAACCATCTTGGTGTTTGTCCTTGACGTTGTAAAGTTGAAAAGCTGAAAGCACTGGCTAAGATATTAAAAACTAAAATTCTGTTTTTGTTTCAAATATTTGGAAAACATTTTTCACTAAAAAAAAGTTTAAGCTTAAGCACTGAAATTAATCTGCGCTTTCCCCCAAAACTCTTTATTCAAACACTTTATTTTAACTAATGTTTACTCTTTTAAAGCTGCATAAGAAGCTTCAATTCTTTAGAGTAATTACTTTTGAATTAAGAAAGAAACCCACATCCATGCTTGGACACCACCCTTCTCAACCCTGACTGTGTTTGTGTCACAACTACATTAAATTCCATCAATTAAAAAAAAAAAAAGAAAGAAAGAAACCCAGGCACTGCTTGAAGACTCCTGCAACCTGCTTGCTGTGACTTAAGTGGTGAAGGTTCTGCCAACATCACCTCTGCAGTGTAGTTAGTACTTTGGCCACATCCACAGTGAGCACCGTACCTGTACGCAGCGATCTCGATGTCTAGAGCCATCTTGACGTTGAGGAGATCCTGGTATTCTCGCAAGTGACGAGCCATTTCCCACTTTGTGCCCCGAAGCTCGTTTTCCAACTGCTGGATGGTGTCCTGAAACAGACAGCCGCAGACTCATCCTTCCAAACAGCAACTTCCGCAAACCACTTGCTCCCCCCTCTATCCTCCCCTCCCTTGACTCCCCCCAGCTCCGCAAACCTCGCGTACCACGCCCAGACTCCCCTCCCCCCTTCAAATAAAAAACCGAAGAAATTCACAAACGAACAAACAAACACAAACAGGATCAATAAGACAATTAGACTTTTCCTGGGCAAGACACGCACTGAGACCAGCGGATCTAGAACACGTCTCAGCAGGAAACAAGCATGCATGGGGAAATCCCACGGCTGACCTGGCCCTTCCCTTCTGAGCGCTTTGGGCTGAAGCCAATTTGGGGAGTTCTCCCGATCACGGCTGGGAAAGTTGAGAATACATGAGTTTCTGCACAGCTATCCTAAACTCGCTGCTTTATCAACTATCCAAATGTATACCTCCTGCTTTAAACGTGCAAGTGTGCAAAACTAGAACTCCCGGGGAAAAGAAGCCCGTTTTGAAAAAGCTCAGGGCTTTTAGAGCTGGGGAGGGTGCGTGGGGGAGGAGTGTGGAAAGGATGGAGAGGGGCGAGGACGCTTGTAACCTCTAACTCGGGTCTGCGTCGCGCGCGCG